TTGGCCTATTCAAACTGGACCCGGCCCAGCCTAAAAATGTTAAGCCCGGTCCAACCTGATAATGCACTGGGCTAGCTAGGCTCGGGCCCAGATTTCACAACCCAAAATCATGAAAATCCAGCAAGATCCCATCCTAGGAAAGCCTATTTCTCGGGTCGAATTTGGGCCTAGCCTTTTATCCGGGCTTTTTCTTGCCCGCCCTGAAGCCCGGCTTGAGGTTTGAACATGCAAATGTGAATACATTTTAGTAGGAATTTTGTGAAATCGATGAATTAAGGTGTTAACCTTCTTCTCCCATTTTGTTGAATATTTACAAAGAGGGCATGCCCGGCCGTGAACTTTATATACTTTCAATTGAAGCCGGAGATATGCTCCCTGTTCTTTTTTTTTAAAAAAAAAGAATAAAAGAAGAAGAAAGAAAAAGCCACACTCGGAGCTTTGTGTAATTGTGTGGTGTGTGCATGCGTAATTATTATGTGGTGCAGTGGTGGTATGTATGCATGCACATCTTTTTCTATTGGAGAAAAAAAAACTATATTGTCTTATGGCACAGTCTTGTGCCGGCTCGTTAAAAAGAAAAAAAATTCTGTTACCCTTGAAATTTTGCAAGGCCATGTAACATCATGGTATACATCTTCATTAGGTCCAATCTGGATGCATGGGATGATTTAGCCCAACTCTACATGTCCCTCCCTTTGGACCAGATTTTGATCCATCCAAATAATGCTTTACAGAGTCGAAGGCCGAATTTTACAACTTGGTCTGTCTCGAGTGTTGTCATTTATTTATTTTTCCTTTGACGTAAGAGTGCCTGTGGCTGCAGAAAGCTTGGAGAATGATGTCTTATTAAACCTACCTATAACTATATATATGTCTGTTATATTAAGTAAAAACTGTATTGAGATTATAGGACCCATAATAGGTGATGAACCACCCTTAACAGATAGGACGGTCGGCGCCGGTTTATTTAAAACCAACACCTATAGAACTTTTTCCCACCTTCACGGGATGGAAGAAAAATATAGAACTGGCACATTTGGTTTTTTTTCTTAAAACCGGTACCAATACTGTAGGTTCGGAGATTATAGCGATATGGATTAATCATTAGTTTTTATACAATGTGTAATTTATACCTATATAAACATAAGCTAAGAGTTATATATCAAATTCAGTTTGATTTTTAAAATTTAACCAAATTATCACAATACTACATGTATTTTAGCCTTAAACTTGTAGTTTTGAGATAAATTTATTGTTAAATCTATAGTTTTATGATATATTACCTTAAATATGTAGTTCTATGATAATTTAGTTAAAATATCAGTTGTTTTGTGAAATTTACTCTATAATTATATATGAAAATGGTATGGAAATTCCCGACCGTGTGAGCTATCATTTCTGTTATACCAATTGTTTTATTCCGTTTCTGTTTTGTCTAAAATGAGATGGAAATGGTATATGTTTTGACAACCGTGTTTTAGTGGTATGCTGTTTCTATGCAGAAGTTCCGAATGAATTACTATATAATACCAACAACCCATCAAAATATAAAAACTTAACCATAAAACTTACGTGTTGTTATTGTTGATGTTATAATATCGTTATGAAAATTTAAATCGGAATCTTCACTAATATATGTCTACATTAATTTATCATGTAAACATGACCATAACTTGCTTATTTTTTTTTGAAAGGAGGGCAAAAGCTTTGTCTCGTATATTAATAGAGATGGAGAAAAAACAAAACAAAATCAGAAAGGGAAATATTTACAGGGCAAGCCAAAAGAGCTACACCCGCAAGAATTGACAAAGAGACTAAGTGATATCTCCCAAAATTCCAAACTCTTGAAGCCTTGAGGCTCCAGCCTTGACCTAGGCTCGAGCCTCCTCCTTGATCTTGGCGATGATGGAAGCCGGTGTTGAGGCGGTGTTTCGGAAGATTCTTGCGTTTCATTCGCACCAAACTTCCCATGAAACCAAGATCACCAGTGCTCGCAAAGGAAAGCGGGGGGTGTTAGGAGTGTCTACCACTAGGTTCCACCATTGCTCCACCGAGTCGCAGTCACTCTATTTGCTCATTTGGAGGTCAGTTTGGGTCCACCTTTGTAATTCCGCCCATACCCTCTTGGTGACTCTGCAGTGCGCCAGCAGATGGATCGCTGATTCGTTGATTATGCAGCATAGCGGTTGATTATGCAGCATAGCGGGCATATCTTCTGATTTTGCCAACCTCTTTTCTCGAGTCTATCAGTTGTCCAGAGTCTATTTTGGGTGGCGAGCCAGGAGAAAAAATTGCATTTTGGAGGGGCCCATGCTTTCCAAATGGATTGGCTGAAAGCCGATCTCATAGACCCCATAAATTGGAGTCCATAGGCACCATAACTTGCTTATTCCTTTGATGCCTTAATTTTGAAGCTCTCTATCCCGATAATTCCGTTTTTGATATATTCCAATGCTCCGGTATGTACCAATATCGTTATTGTTTCCGATACTACCACTCCGATTATGTTTCTGAGAGAAAAATTGGTAACAAAAATGTAGTTTAATATCATCTAGCCTACAATTGATAAGTTGTAAAATGGCTTATTAAAAAAATATTGATAAAAACTTTTATATATTTGTCCTTAATGATTTAAATAAAAGTCAACACTGGAAAATAAACTAGATAAATACTTCAAATTAGCTCAAACATTTAAGTTTTACAATTCAAATTTTACGCTCGGCTAATAAACCAAAAGGCAGACGATGGTGCTCGTTGAAGCATTTTTCCGACCGTTTCTATCCTAACCATAATGCAAAACATATCCTAAGTGCATATTTTGCTTTCAGTCATCACAATTCGCAATGCAAGGGGATGATTCAGATGTAAACTGAATAAGAAAAAGTTCAGCTTTGTTCCATTGTTATCATACTATTCTTTTCATACAATTCACAAGGGAGCGATTCCCAGCTAGCTAATCATCGTATATTCTTAGCTATCTCTTCTTGTACTGTTCAATAGTTATCACCATTAAAAGAGCACCATCGATTTGCGTGAGTTTGCTTTTGTGTAAACCTTGTAATAATTGGCTGTAACTCTTAATTAAACAAATGCCGGCAATAATATTTTATTCCATTATATTAAAAAAAAAGCACCATCAATTTGAATGTTATCCGAACGGTATACTTGGAACCGCCAGTGATAGCCCGTTATATATGCAAGAATATGTGCTACTGTGATATCAACACGGTGCCTCGCTCGCTCCTCTTCCGGGTCAATCCTGGCCGTTCAAGTCCGCATATCGACGGTCTGCATTGCATACGTACTGGACTGTTCATGATGCCATATATACTAAGGTGGTGTTTGGATCCAGGAACTTCTAGCATATCGGATGAATTTAGAGTATTAAACATAGACTACTTATAAAACTAGTTACATAAATAAGAGTTAATTCGCGTGATAAATTTTTTAAGCCTAATTAATCCATAAATAGCGCATGTTTACTGTAGCATCACATATGCTAATCATGGATTAATTAGGTTCAATAGATTCGTCTCGCGAATTAGTCCAAGATTATGGATGGGTTTTATTAATAGTCTATGTTTAATATTTATAATTAGTATCCAAAAATCCGATGTGATAGGGACTTAAAAGCTATATATAGCTCATAATTTCCAAAAGTAATCTACATATATGCGTTGCATTGGACGTACATATTGTGATGAGTGCATTCCACGGCAAGGAATCATATTCGTGTGCCAACCAATTAAGCCACTCAAATTCTTTTCTCATTCAAAGGAATCGTATTCCTCTCCTTTGACGATATCATTTTCTTTGCTTTCTCATAGCTAGATCAGCATCAGCATCAGCATCGTCATCTCCTTTAATTCTTGGTTCCTTTTTCACTAGTCGGTTAGGACATCTATATAATTTTCGATGCACATGATTTATCATCACCTTTTTTCTATAGCTAGCCATATATTTGTATCAAAACTATTGAAAATATCACTACATTGAAGTATCGATCTTTTAGGATAAATCTAGCTAATAATATTGTCTTTTACTTATCAAATCTTAATATTTTTGTATTAGTGATTTAATATTTTGAGGTTTAAATGCACGAGTTTAAACGACTTATATTTATTTGTTAACGAAAGGAGTGTATGTACTAGCTAGCTATATTCATAGCTTCTGTGACTTTTACGCTTAATTATTATCATGCTGCCCCACTCCAGCTAGCTAGCTAGCTAAAGCTTTCATCCTAACCCAAGGCATCTTATATATAGTAAAAGCAACAAACTTTCATACACGATGATGCGCTACATCATCAAAAATATATTAACCGTCGGATAGATAAATAAGGACCATTGGATCAAAAGGGTACATATACAATATAAAAAACAACAAATGGGATAAATGTATGGTAATTTCTGGAGGTTTCTAGTGTCGAGAGAGGGGCAAAGATAATAAATAAAGAAATAAAAAAACCAGGAGGCTTCTAGTGATTTCTCATATAGTACAGCTTAGTTAAATCTATAGTTAGCTAGACCAATTGATACTTTGTAAATCAATCAACTCATGCTAAAACCTTCTATAAACTAATATACGGATACAAAAGTTCTTATACGGGATCAAAAGTCGCGCAGAGCACGACTACGTGGCTAGTATATCCTTAATTCGGCAGTTGCGTTCTGGACATTGACATAGTTATTTCCAGTGCACATATATTATATTTTTTGAATCATTTAATTATGAGAATTATGGAAGATATAACTAGCTAATTAAGTAGGAGTACTTGCCATACAAAATCTACCAATATCGATTTTATATATAAATCATAAATGTATATATTACTGATTCAAAATCACATGGTTGTTTTTTTGGCAAACACAGTACAAACGCATACCCTCACATACACACGTGCACACTCAGCATATACATAAATTTATCTAAACACAACATTTAAAGAAATCATGAAAATTCAAGAACACAAGAAGCATCTTCACTATATATATGTGTGTGCGCGTGCATATGCCATGCGGCCTACGAAACCTCTCATGAATCTGATGCCCTAGTGCAAGTGTGCAAACTGAAGCCAACCCACACACCACACACACATATATATACAGAGTTCCTTCCATTTTTCTTTTGAAAGCTGCAGGGTGCTCTTCTTCTTCTCTAGGTTGATCTTATATCATCTGAGAGCTCCAAACTAAAGCCTGCAGCCATGGTAATATATCTTCAATACTATACTTTTACTCACTTTTTTTTGTCCATTGGTGTGTGCTCTACTACAATTTTTTTAGTTTGCAAATTAATTGATTAGGAAGAATAAATATATATATCACTTAATAATTAACCTGCATGCACATGTAAATAAACTAGTAAATATTTTGCAGGATCTGATGGAGAAGTCCAGACGAGCAAATTTCTTGTTCGACGACAACGACGGAGATGAGGATCAAAACGACAAACAAAAAAAGGAGAGGACTCCTGTTAATCGAGCTGGGGAGAAGAATAACAATGAGAACTTCACAAGTCGTGGACTACCAAACGACACTAGTAAGGATCGCTCCTCCGGGTTGCTGGCAAGCTTGCTGTGTTGTTGTGGACCGCGGCGAAATTAACTAAGTCGTAGTACAAAATGAGACACACATCCTAGTTCTACGATTCGGGATTTGAGGTATGCTTAGATTTACAGTAGTAGGATATACCATATTATATACTAAGTTGTTATGTTTTAGGATGTCGGATTTTGAACCAGCTGTGATTTGATCTTATATGTACTAGTGGCACCGCCAGTTACCGGTGATTACCAATTACTCTCATGTGTGTTAAGTTAACCATGCATACATGAATGTAGAGACTGGGATGAATATGTTGATTATTATCTTATAAAAGAAATTAGATAGTACTACATGTGATTGTGTATGTGTGTTTAGATATTAATGTTATGCAAGAATATTGTACTATCGCCATATATATAATCGTGTCAACTTGTTTGATATATTTGACATATATAACTTGTACAATTTACAAATTTCTTTCTCAAATTGTGTTACTTAATCGTGACTGAGAAGTGGAAGAGGCTTGCTCCACGAAGATACATACGTACAACCACAGCGATAACAAAGGAGGATTGAAACGATCAACGACAATACATCCACAGAAAAGATCGTTACGATCCATATGAGAAATCTATTACCAAACCGGATAAATTACAAGTATATATAAGAGAATTAGAGGCATAGACTACGAAGAAGCAATTTTTTTTTCGGGGAAAAGGGAATATATTACTCCTCACAAACAAGGTGAGAGATGAAATTACAACTGTTTTCAAGCCAGAAATTAGACATAGACTCACATCGTGCCTTATTTGCTAAGATATGGCTAACACGATTTTGGTTGCGATGGCTAACACGAAGAAGCAATTAGTATGTGAAGAAAGGGATAAGAAAGAATCAGGTGGAGAGGAAAAGTAGTGTGCACTGTGCAGAAGAAAGGAAGCCGATGCCTTGGCCTGGCTTCTTGCTTTTTAACGGCTTGTTTGGCAAGAGTATCGGGAGTTTGGATGAGTAAATTGATGGTAAGATTAATACATGAATGAATTTGATTTTTAATACTAGTCTTTTTGTTTGGTAGAGGTAGTGAAATTAAAATTGGCAAGAATTAATATATATAGACTAGATTTTTAATGAAAATAGATGGCTGATTTTTTTTTAGAATTACACAGTACAACGCAGACACTCATAACTCACGCGCACTCACCTCTATGAACGCACGCACGCAACCCTACCCCTATGAGCATCTTCGAAGACTGGGCCGGCAAATCCTTGAGATTAACGAAGCCACTGCATGCGCCTCGCTATCGACGGGTACGTTGTTTAGGCAACGTAAAGGAGAAATTTCCTCCCAACTCCATATTCCTTCAACTAAACAGAACACAACGTAAAGGAGAAATTTCCTCCCAACTCCATATTCCTTCAGTTAATAGATATATCTCTTTTAACTCTCAAACTCTCTAAAAATTACCCCAACCACATGCACCCTTAGTAATCCTACTCTGCATATCTTTCATTGGGTTGGGCCTCAGTCTGGTTAGTGGAAGGAAAGTGGCTAATTAGTATACATGTAAGGACGGCGACAGATTTCCAAACACAACATTATGTCGATGATTCCAGAAGCAGGTCGAGATCCTATCTGTAGGGTGAAGGCTGCAAGGTGGCATGTAGCGATGATGCTCGGCCGAATTCCAATGGCCTGCCAGAAGTGCATTGCCATTGGGCAGTGGAGGCAGAGGTGGGCAGCATTTTCATCGGCCATTTTGCAGAGCTCGCAAGTGGCAGTGTCGACGATGCAATTCTTCGTGAGGTTGTGTCTAGTTGGTAGCCGCTCTTTCGCTAGGAACCAGGCAAAGAATTGAATCTTCGGTGATGCTTTGTTCCCCAAGATAAATCTCCAACTGCTTCATTCTACTTGTCCTTGTAGCAACGAGTTGTGTATTGACTTTTTATATGACATTTGATCTTTTTTTTCAATTAAAAAGTATATAAATATTATTTTTTTGTTGTGATATGTTTTATTACTAAAGATGTGCATTCCTATTGCCAATAATCACTCAATTGTTGGAGTTTGGGCATGAGACTTGACAGGGAGCTCCAATTCACCCCAATTTTGACATCTGGATTAAAGAGGAGTCTTCATACTTTTTCCAAAGCCAAGCATCCCATCTCGAGTGCAAGGAATGGGCCAAGAAGCCCATACATGGCCCATGTATGATCCGCAACATTGCTTGGACCAGAGCCCATCACTGGTGGAGAAACCATCTTTGGTCGGTCCACCCAAATCCACAATAGTCTCGGTTCCATTAAAAACCGGGACTAAAAAAACATTTTTAGTCCCGGTTTATAACTGTAAGGGGACTATATCATCTTTAATCCCGGTTCGTGTTATCAACCGAGACTAAAAATCATCTTTAGTCCAGGACTAAAGATGATCTTTAGTCCCCGTTCATGTCGTGTCAGAGGCTGCTAGTCCCTAGAGATCTTTAGTCCCGGTTGATGGTACCAACCGGGACTAAAATCCTAACTTTAGTCCGGTTGTTGTTCCCAACCAGGACTAAAAATCAAATATACCGTATATAATCCCTTGCTGCTATCCTCAAAAATTTCTATTTCCTATTCCTCCTCTCTCTCACACTTATCCTTATCCTCTTCTCAGTCTCTTTCTATTCTTCTCTCTCAACACTTAGCCGGCGAGGAGCTTACCCGGAGTGCGGCGGCGGGGACCCGGGCGCGGTCGGCGGCCCGTGCTGGGAGGCGGTGGCGGCCGTCCGCGGCAGGAGGAGGTGGCGGCGGCCGCCCTCGGCGGCCAGATTTTTCTTTTTTTTTCCTTTTTAATAACTTGTGATTCATTGGATCTGGATCTGGATCTGTGTTATTTGATCTGTAATGTATTTGTGATCTGTGATGTATCTGTGATTTTGATTGTGATGTAATTTTTCTTTTAGAATTTGTGATTTTTTTCTGACAATTTGTGATGTGAATATTATGATTTGTGATGTTGCTATTTGATCTGGGGATGTAGGGAGCATCTCAATTTCGATTTGGAATTTGCGATTGATTTTATGATTTTGGAGAGATTGGTGTGAAATCAATATTCAAAAGAACAATGAAAAAAAAAAACTAGGACTAACCCTTTAGTCCCGGTTGGTAAGATCGATCTTTAGTCCCGGGTATTTGAACCGGGACTAAAGATAGCGATCTTTAGTTCCGGATTGTTACTCCCCGTTAGAAAACCGGGACTATAGGGGGTTCTCAACCGGGAATAAAGAACATTTCTCTACCAGTGCATGAAGCTAATAAGGGCTGGCAGTTTGTGTTAGAGAGAAAAGGTTTAGGTCAAGTATGGAAGTTTTCTCAAGAGTTTAATTTCAAACATCTAAATAAGTGAAAGGGGAGAGTCAAAATGCAAAACTAATGTGCCAAGTCATCCTCCTCCCTCTTCCCCACCGCCGCCAACAGTCCACCACCCACTCGATTGCTGCCTCCTCTTCACCATTTCCATCTCCTCTTGCCTTTGGATGGCTATCCTCGCACTGGATGTGGCCATGCTTGATGATGCCACCAAATCTCACCGCAATAGGCATCAGATACATCAAATTTACAAAACATTCTTATAGGAATGACCTTATAGGGCAGATAATATTAAAGCCAATGGCTTTCAATTTATTTAGAAATTTATTTTTGGTGGATGCCCTCAAGTCAACTTCTCAGCTCAGAATAGATGATGTATTGAATTGTATATAAAAACCACTCAAATATCAAGTTCATGGATTAAGAGCAAATCCACAAAAAAAAAAATCCCAACAATGGCTTTGGAGGGTAGCATTCTTTGGTGTGCTGCTGGCTAGCATTGTTTGATGTGTAGATCTCATCGGAGTAGCACAAGTTATGCTTTATAGTTAGTCTAACTTTGCATGAAAGACTCTAGGAGCAAGTCTTGATGTGTAGATTTTATTGTTGTATCCTACATATATACTCTGCTCATAGAATGAATTAGAGCTAGACTACTGTGTTCATCGATGATCACGCTGAAAATAATTTGTCCACGGGGAGTAAGTACTGAACAAACATTATGGACCAGAGTAATGTATGTATTGTTCAATCGGGGTGCTATACCATCATTTTGGAATTGCAAAAACGATTGTATACTAGCTTTATTTTATTATTATTTCGAGTAAATTTCAAAACTCCATCTATTATGGCCCAAGTTTCACAAACCGTATATGGTACGTACATAACCCTATATATTATATATTATGGTCCTAAGGTTTCTTACTACAACGCAGCCGCAGCAAGCGCCGAAGAAGCGATGCCGAACAGCCCAGTAGTAAGAATGTGCCTTTCAAGTAGACCTAATTGAATTCATGACTCTTTGAAGTACAATTTATCTTTAATAAACTAATTCTCGTAGTATCTGAAACTAACCCTATAATTGTCAAGAGTCAAGATGCACACACTGGTGGAGAAACCATCTTTCGTCGGTCGGCCGATTTCCACAATAGTCCCGGATGCAATAAAAACCGGGGCTAAAGATGATCTTTAGTCCCGGTTCAAAAGGGTAACGGGCATATTTGATCTTTAGTCCCGGTTTGTGTTACCAACCGGGACTAAAGATCATCTTTAGTCCCGGTTCGAATGCTGTCAAGGCCTGTCAGGCCCCCCCGGGATCTTTAGTCCCGGTTGGTAACACCAACCGGGACTAAAGATCGTAACTTTAGTCCCGGTTGGTAATACCAACCGGGACTAAAGATCCCGGTGATCTTTAGCCCCGGTTGGTGCTACCAACCGGGACTAAAGTCCCACCCCTATATATATGTCTTCTTCCTCCTCCAGCTGCCCGAGCAAGCTTCAAAATTTCTTCAAAAAAGAGGGGAGGTCATGCCAAAATTTCTATTGAATTTATTTTGGTGATTACATACAAATCGGAGGTGCCTAAAAGGTTTGCAACTTCATCCTCCAATGTTTTTTTTTGTCATACTACATTTGCACCTATGTTTTGCACACTTTTTTTGTCTCCAAAATTTAGTTGTAAGTTGATGAGAGAGAAAATGTGTGTGGGGAAGAAAGAATATATAGAAATTTAGTTCATTTGCTAAACAAGGTTTTATAAAATAGTTGAGAAGGAAAACTCTAGTGAAAGTTAATCTTAAATAATAGAAAACAAACTAAAATGAAAATTAAAAGAAGTAAAACACATTAAAATTAGTTTAAAACTTTACAAATAGTTTTTAAGAATTATTTGGTGTAATATTTTATGATTTTTGTATGAATAAAGATATCTTATAATTATTGTATGACTGTCATTATTGTAAGAATAATTATTTGTGTACGGTTTTTTTGACTCATGTAGATGGATCGGCAATGGATGTACGCTGACCGGCGGTCCAAAGAGTTTATTGACGGCGTGCACTATTTTTTGAGAGTGGCCGAAGCTAACAGGCAAAGGGGTTTT